AGAAGGTTATTTGAGATGCTTTTTATCCTTTATGAAAATTTCTCCAATCTCTGTGTAGCTAGAGCACAGTAAATTCACAGGGATAGGACTGAAAAGATGAGTGCGTTTTAGGGCCATTTAAAAGATTGTATATTAATACAAAATAAGATTTCTATTTAAGAAAAGACATATTAAAGGATTATGTGTATGCATACATAATTTTTGAAAGTAAAGTGGTATTGACTTAAATCCCAGACAAAGCACACCAGTGTATTTAAAGGCTGAGCAATCCCTATCTCTATTACTTGGGTGTTATCAGTGATCTGGAATTAAGCCAGGGCTGCAGGAGTCAATGGAATATGCATAGTCTCCCTGACTCATCCTAATTCAATTAGAGGGGGACTGTGGGTTGAATTTGGTTCCTGAGAGGAGACTATAAGAGAAAAATGAGGCTTATCCATTCTGCCCTATATTAGTAAGTCTATTTATGTGCACATTATGTAACAAGTTGGGCTCTTAGAAGAATATCATGTAAGTTTATTTTTAAAAAAAGAAAAAGAATGGAAAAAATATAGGCATGCAGAAGTGGGAGAGAAGAATAGGAATAAAAGTTATTAGAATAATGTTTCAGGTACTATCAAGTTCTGTTTTCAACAACATACTCCCATTAATGAGAATGTATTAAAGAGAATAAAGAAAAAAAAACTTGTATGATATTTATTTTAATTTAAGGAAGTTCTAATATCTAAGAAAATCACTTTCCCAATTTTTGGGCAAATGCTATTGTGCATTAAATGTGTTTTTGTCTCAACATTTATCTATATCTATTTTTAAGGATAAATAGAGGTGCTTCTGAATAATGTGCATGCAATTTCTGCATTTGGGGGCATTTTATTTTATGTAAAAAATAATGAAATGGATCATACTTGATATTCTGATCTAACAGTTCTTACCTACAGAAAATAAATGTTCTATAGACAAGAAACAGAAAGTTTTCTATTACATTTCAATGAAATTATATTGCTTTAAAGTGAAGAGAGAAAAAAAAATCTATTCAAAGGAAAGACCTAATAGTGCAACAGAAGAATTATTCAAGGACCTTACTACACTTTGCCAGTTTGCACAGTCTTAAAAGGTGTTAATTTTGTATGCTGTTAACATTCTGCATTGTCCTTTTCTAAGTAGTGATAATATAAATAACCCTTAGCATTTTCACACAAATTTCCCCCAGAAGTACAGGATAATAGTCTAGACTCTTTTGTGAAATGGGGACAATAATACCTGCTGTGACACAAGATCCCTGTGATTGATTGATTAATGTCTGTTAGACACAATGAGACATTTGGATTAAAGGAACTTTAGAAGTACAAGGCACACTAGTATTTATTTTATTTTACTTTTCACTTTGATTGGAATACAGAAATAATATGTTAAAGTTGAACATTTTAGTCTTGAAATCCTTGAGGAGGTCATTTGATCATTGCAAATACCACAGTCTATGGCTTTTATATAAACTGTAACTTAACACAGAAAGCCTTTACAATCTCTGTGTGAAATGTAATTTTAAAATGCTGACTGGAAACTAAAAAGTCATAGATGAAAATTCAATTAACAAACCAAACTGCTTGATAATTGAAGTTATTAAATGCCATCACATGAAAATTGTTTACATATATAAATAGAACAACATTAAATGTTGGGATGTAAAATAATGTTAACTCAACATCTGTTTCTATATTAATCTGAAATAGTATTTAAGTCTTTACTTAGCTGGTCTAAGGTGACTCAGCTTCACAATATCCCATGACCTATATAACAGCAGGGAACACTAAAGCAGTTTTACTGTAGCTCAGATGGCATAATTCCTAAATTATATACTAATCAGGTACAACACATGCAAGACTATAACAATTCCTTGCTGTAGAAAGCATGCAATGACAAAGATGAGTATGGGTTAATTACTGAGATTTAATTGGAACCCTAATAGATATACTGGAAGATCTATACTGGAAGTCACATAATTGGAAATCAAATATTTTATTAAATTCTTCTGAAGTAAAAAAAAAAACTGATTAAAATGCATCAAAACCAATAGATAGCCTCCTACAAAAATTAAAATTTATGCTCAATAGGATTTTCCTAATACATAATTATGTAGATGTAACTTTTAAAAAATAAGGTAGAGGAGGTGAATTGTGAGCAGCTCTCATTATGGAAATGTTTTATATAGATGTCTGGGCAGAAGTCTCAAGTTATGATAGCAGAGGGTTAGAAATATGACCCTTTATATTTAATTTTCTTCCTGAATATGAATAAGATCTTTAATAATAGTTCTCATTCTGGAGTTTAGCAGTTGGAATATAATAGGGCAAACAATAAGCTTCAACCATTCTAGCTTCAAGAGATAAAACTAGTATGATTACAGAATTCCAGTAATTTAGGTATGCCAAATAAACACCCAAATGACAGAATGCACTGAAGTCAGTAGCTCTGTTTCTGTATTATAGCCAACCTCCTTTGATGAGTCTAGAGATGGACCTCATTCGGGGCTTTGACCTTTGGTTTCTGTAATTGAAATCTCATGGTCGTAAATGTAATCGTATGACTTTTTCCTCCTTAACCTTCATCTGTGTTCATACTAAGATTTCATTTATGAGCATAGGATAGTAATGAGTTCTGACTACTAGCAAAGCTACCCCTTAGCACACAGAAATAATTCTGCTTAGTAGTAATATTAATTATTGCTAAGTTATATGCTGTGATTGCAACGCAACTTTGAAAATGACTATAGTGTGATCAGCATGAGAACGTGAGATAACTGTGATGCGTCAGAAGTGACCTGGAAAGTGCCTGTGCTGCTGTTTATTGTAAATGTATCAAAATGACGGTTCATTTATCATTTCAAACAAGTTCGGAGCATAAACTAGGTACCAACTGGAACAATGCACTAGTTCTAATTGTACATTTTGTGAATGGCAAAATGATCATTCAGAGTTAAGATAAAAGAAGCTTCCTTTAATTCACCAGTATTGTTCTATGAGGTAACATTTTTATTTATAATTTTAAATACTTAAAATTACATTTTTATTCTTAAATTTTGTATACTCTAATCATACAAAATGCTACTATTATGATATGAGAGGACTTTTGGCTATTTAGAAAGCTTTATCAATCTATTGCCTTCAGAAAACCTGTTTTATATTTCTCATTGAGATTTACCTATTTTAGTGCATATTAGGCACTGAATTTTGCCATCAACAACATTGACCTCAGGAAAAGATACATATAGTCATTGATGTGGGAACATCGTAATGTCAGAGTTGGTTAAATAGTGAAATTATGCAATATCTAAGTTTGGTGGGTTTGCTTGGTGATAATATTTTTACATTTTAACTTAAGTATCTAAAAATAAGTGTTCATATTGAAAAAGAAAACCACTTTATTCAGAAACTAAGAGGTATCTTTGTACATGCCATCATAGTGCAGAACTGTGTGAAGAGCCATCAATGCATCCATCCACAGCTCAGCACAGAATGGGGAACACGGAAATTTAAAATAAATGCCCTTTATTCTCCCTGTACATTAGAACCAGTTATTCAATTACACATTAAGACCTTCTCAGACAACCTTTACAGGTCATTCAAAAAAATAAAATAAAACAAAATGTTTGTCCCAAGTGAACTATTATCAAAGCCTCAAACTTTACTCCTGCGTATATCCTTTTGGTAACAACCCATTCCGCAACCCTTGTGGATTACTGCTTTTAAAGGTCAGTCATACAGAGAGATAGTCTAGTTTTAGTATTCGGGGCCACTATTTAAAAAATAAAGCTAATCCTTTCGGGGAGTCATTCCATCGTGCCCTTGCATGAAAATGAGAAGCGTGTGGGTATACGCTACCCAACGAGTCAGAGACACGACTTGCACAGGGAAAGACAAGCATTACGCATTAAGTTCTAATCAGCAGAAAGTGCCAGGGGAAAGGAAAGGGTCCGCAGCCTGGGGAAGCAGCTGGACGAGACTCCTTCCAGCCTTTCGCAGGCAAAGTTTGCAGCTAAGTGAGCTGGCAGCGGCTGTGCCGCGGCCGCGGGTCGGGGCAGCCGGGCTCTCTGGCTCCCGCGCGGCGGAGCAGGAGCGCAGCAGCAGGAGCGCAGCGGCGCCCGCAGAGGAGACTTCGCGCCGCACCCGGCTGGCCAGGGCCGATCGGGGACCCCCAACGCTGCCGTTCTCCTTCTCCCCGCCCGCTGCCGTCACCCGGCAGGCCAAAAAGGCTCTAGTTCATTCCCTTCCTGGTCTCCACTGAGATCCAAAGACTCCCTGCCCGGACCTTTCGCTACCCGCCCCGCTCCGTCCGCCCTTCTGGCCAAGTCCCTGCCAGCACCGCCGGTCGTGCTGTCTGTCCCACGCGCCCCGGAGACCGGCCGGCCCCGTACTCCCGACCGAAGGGGTGACCCTACATCTCCGGCCGGCCTCGGACTCCGGGTGGACTCCCCTCTTTGCATGTTGGCCCCTCCATTCGGAAAAGGAAAGGTGCGCCAGATAGGAGTGCCCTCGGCGTCCTCCATCCGCCCGCAGCGGTGCCCGGAGGAGCCCTGGACCGGCGCCCGCATCCCCCGCATCCCCGCATCCCCGCCCGCCGGTCCCCCGCTGCGCCCGCCCTCGCCAGCCAGGCCGCCGGGATCGGCGGGCGATCGCCGCCCGGAGCGGCGCGCGGAGGAGCCGCCTGCTCCTGGCGGCCGGCCCCGCCGGGCATGCTCCGTGCGCCGCCGGGAGCCCGCTCTCCCGGGGCCGGGATCGGCTCTCCGCGTTTTCGCTGCGGCCGAGGGGGGCGCGCAGGAAAGGGGGGCTGGGAGACAGGCAGCGCCCTCCCCGCGCGGCGCCCCCTCCCTCCCTCCCTCCCTCGCGCGCGGCTGCCGCACCGCAGGACGCGGGCCAATCAGGCGCCGGGGGCGGGGCCCGGGCCGTCACGCCCTCCCTGTGGGCTTATTGAGAGTTATATCAAGAAATTCAGTTCGGAGCGAGGAGAGGGAGCCGGAGGAGAGAGGGGCCGAGGAGCAGAAGCGGGAGAGGGAGAGCGAGCCAGCCGGGAAGAAGCGCCCCAGAGTCTCTCACACCAGAGAGAGAGAGAGAAACAACCGATGAGGGATTTTTTTTTTTTTTCGAGCCCCTGTCACTCCGCCCCCGGAGAGCCGCAGGAAGGATCACCACCATCACCCCAACTCTGAGGTTTCCTTACAAGAAGTTAGGGACTTAAGCAGGACTGCCATCGGAGGGAAATGCTATGCCGGATGCGGTGGAACATACCCCTGAGCTGAGCAAGTGCGGCTGGATGCCGTGCGTGCCAAATACCAGAAGAGCCCAGACCCCCTGGGCAATCGAGGAGACGGAATGTGGGGGGAGAATAGCGACAAATCTGTGAATTTGTTCTCCGGAGTTGCTAATTTGCCAGCCCGAAGCAACACATTTCACCGGGAGGAAACGTTTGGCTGCTCCTGATTCCTCCCCCAAACTGGTGCTTACCAGATGCATGGCTTTCTATGTGTGGGAACAGAGCGTTCCTAACTGCAGCAGCATACCGGGGAAGGGGAAAGGTTGAGGCAACTAACGTAAGTGTAAAGTTTCGCATGCACGATTGTAAATGCTTGTGTTTAGATATGTCCTCGGTGCGGACGGGAGGATGTTTGTAATTGGGTAGAAGGCTGGGGCAGAACTCACCTACCAGGCTGTCTCTGCATCCCTACCTGCACCACCCTGCCGGAACTAATCACGGGCATCAGCTACCGTGCGGCTAATGCAGATGAGATCAGAGCCTGGGAACTGACCGGTTTTACTCTAGTGGGTGGCTGTCTGGAGCCTTGCACCCGTTTCAATAGCAGTTAGGGGAGCATCTAAGCAGCAGCCTTTTAACCTGCATTACTGGGTTGCAGTATTGATGTGTGGCAGATGTTACTAATATTATAACAGAGATCAGGGTTAAGAAACTGCATCCCCCCCACCCCCTCTGTTAGGCTCTGTAGAAAACATTGTGCCGTTACATGGAAATATTGCTGCGTTTCGCATACACCTTGACACTCTCTTTCACCTCTAGGATAAGAAATCTCATATTTATGATTTTGTAAAGTTTTTCATGTGTTTATTAATGCTAATGGGGTTCATTTGGCAACATGGAGAAACGAGGGCAAGGTCTGGATAAGACATTTGGAGTCTTGGTGTTGTGCTTTTAGGCAATACGAATCTGTAGTGGCCGGCGACTATTGCTGCTGATGCTGCAGCATGTCCGATGCTTGTTTCCCAGGAAGATTGTGTGAGAAGGCAGTTGAAGAACTGGAGGGAAAGAAAGGCATAGTCCTTTTAGAAAGAAATAAAGAAAAAAGAGAGAGAGAAGAGAGATGACTCAGTGTGGCAGAGACGAAAACTCATCACAGTTGACATGTGACAAAGCAGTTAGCAGGAAGCACAGCTAAATACTTAGTGTTTTTCACTTCCACCTAAAAATAAAATAATAAAAAAATAATAACCAACAATTAAGGGAGGTGGGTTAGAAACCAGAAGGCAGGTAAGCCAGGGGGAGGGGAGGAGAACAAGAATTCAAGAATGCGTGTTTTGAATTAAACCGTGTCCTGAAAAACAGTGTGGGTGACTACAGGTAAAAATAGCAGCTGTCCTGAATTCAAAAGTAGAAGGTTTTATTTTCTCTGGCTAGATGCAACAAGCGGGGGACATTGAGTGTTTTCATCCACAGAGTTAACTTGCGAACAGGGGCAGAGCAAACTGCCATGTTTACCAATATGCAGTGGAAAATGTGCTGTAATGTTTCGTGACTGTGTGTTCCTGTGTGCTGGAGAATAATGTTGTCTGTACAATTGTGTTGACAGTGGCTGTCTCCAAATAAGCGATGAGATGTAATGCATCCTCCAGCCCATGCACGCTTCCTCTTGCAAGCCGTGCACCCTTCCTCAGTGGGAACCTTTAAGCCCTAGCATTCGGGAAAAGAAAATAAATACATTATCATGGACCTGAGGGATTTTTACCTGTTGGCTGCTCTGATTGCCTGTTTAAGGCTGGATTCCGCAATAGCTCAAGAACTTATTTACACGATTAGAGAGGAATTGCCTGAAAATGTGCCCATAGGAAACATACCAAAGGACCTGAACATTTCTCACATCAATGCTGCCACGGGGACCAGCGCCAGTCTTGTCTACAGACTGGTTTCTAAAGCTGGGGATGCCCCTTTGGTGAAAGTGTCCAGCAGCACTGGGGAGATTTTCACAACCTCCAACAGAATAGACAGAGAGAAACTCTGTGCGGGCGCCTCGTATGCTGAGGAGAATGAGTGTTTCTTTGAACTTGAGGTGGTGATCCTCCCCAATGATTTTTTCAGGCTGATCAAAATAAAAATAATTGTGAAGGATACCAATGACAATGCCCCCATGTTTCCATCCCCGGTCATCAATATCTCGATTCCAGAAAACACTTTGATCAACAGCCGCTTTCCAATCCCATCGGCCACAGATCCCGACACAGGCTTCAACGGGGTTCAGCATTACGAATTGTTAAATGGGCAGAGTGTGTTTGGACTGGATATTGTGGAAACTCCGGAGGGGGAGAAGTGGCCGCAATTGATTGTTCAGCAAAACTTGGACAGAGAACAGAAAGATACCTATGTGATGAAAATCAAGGTGGAGGATGGGGGCACCCCGCAGAAGTCCAGCACGGCCATCCTGCAGGTCACAGTGAGCGATGTGAACGACAACAGGCCGGTGTTTAAGGAGGGTCAGGTGGAGGTCCACATCCCAGAGAACGCTCCCGTGGGCACCTCTGTGATTCAGCTCCACGCCACGGACGCAGACATAGGCAGCAACGCTGAAATCCGGTACATTTTTGGTGCCCAGGTCGCCCCTGCTACCAAAAGGCTCTTTGCTTTAAACAACACCACCGGGCTCATCACTGTCCAGAGGTCCTTAGATCGAGAGGAGACGGCCATCCACAAAGTGACAGTGCTGGCCAGTGACGGCAGCTCCACGCCCGCCCGAGCCACCGTCACCATCAACGTGACGGACGTCAACGACAACCCTCCCAACATAGACCTCAGGTACATCATAAGCCCCATCAACGGCACGGTGTACCTGTCCGAGAAAGACCCCGTCAACACCAAGATTGCCCTGATCACGGTCTCCGACAAGGACACGGACGTGAACGGCAAAGTGATCTGCTTCATTGAGAGGGAGGTCCCGTTCCACCTGAAGGCCGTGTACGACAACCAGTATCTGCTGGAGACCTCCTCCCTGCTGGACTACGAGGGCACCAAAGAATTCAGCTTTAAGATCGTGGCCTCGGACTCGGGGAAGCCCAGTCTGAACCAGACCGCGCTGGTGAGGGTCAAGCTGGAGGACGAGAATGACAACCCGCCCATCTTCAGCCAGCCTGTCATCGAGCTGTCCGTCTCCGAGAACAACCGGCGGGGGCTCTACCTCACCACGATCAGTGCCACCGACGAGGACAGCGGGAAGAACGCAGACATCGTGTACCAGCTGGGCCCCAACGCCTCCTTCTTTGACCTGGACCGCAAGACGGGGGTCCTGACCGCCTCCAGGGTCTTCGACCGGGAGGAGCAGGAGCGCTTCATCTTCACGGTCACGGCCAGGGATAACGGGACGCCGCCGCTGCAGAGCCAGGCGGCCGTCATCGTCACGGTGCTGGACGAGAACGACAACAGCCCCAAGTTCACGCACAACCACTTCCAGTTCTTCGTGTCGGAGAACCTGCCCAAGTACAGCACGGTGGGCGTGATCACCGTGACGGACGCCGACGCCGGCGACAACAAGGCCGTGACCCTCTCCATCCTGCACGACCACGACAACTTCGTGCTGGACCCCGCCTCGGGGGTCATCCGGTCCAACGTGTCGTTCGACCGCGAGCAGCAGAGCTCCTACACCTTCGACGTGAAGGCCACGGACGGCGGGCAGCCGGCGCGCTCCTCCACGGCCAAGGTCACCATCAACGTGATGGACGTGAACGACAACAGCCCCGTGGTCATCTCGCCGCCGTCCAACACGTCCTTCCGGCTGGTGCCGCTGTCCGCCATCCCGGGCTCCGTGGTGGCCGAGGTGTTCGCCGTGGACATCGACACGGGCATGAACGCCGAGCTCAAGTACACCATCGTGAGCGGCAACGGCAAGGGCCTCTTCCGCATCGACCCGGTCACGGGCAACATCACGCTGGAGGAGAAGCCCTCGGCGGGGGACGTGGGGCTGCACCGCCTGGTGGTGAACATCAGCGACCTGGGCTACCCCCGGGCCCTGCACACGCTCGTGCTCGTCTTCCTTTATGTCAACGACACGGCCGGCAACGCCTCCCACATCCACGACCTCATCCGCAGGACCCTGGAGACGCCCCTGGACAGGAACATCGGGGACAGCAGCCAGCCCTACCAGAACGAGGACTACCTCACCATCCTGATCGCCGTGGTGGCCGGGGCCATGGTGGTGCTGGCCGTCATCTTCGTGACCGTGCTGGTGCGCTGCCGCCACGCGTCCCGCTTCAAGGCGGCGCAGCAGCGGGGCAAGCAGGGGGGCGCCGCCGCCGAGTGGATGTCCCCCAACCAGGACGGGGGCAAGCAGGGCAAGAAGAAGAAGAGGAAGAAGAGGAGGTCCCCCAAGAGCTCCCTGCTGAACTTTGTCACCATCGACGAGTCCAAACGCTGCGACGATGACGACGACGACGCCGCGGCGCACCAGCCCATCAACGGGACCATCAGCAGCCTGCCCGCCGCCGAGCTGGAGGAGCAGGGCCTGGGCCGCTTCGACTGGGGCCCCGCGCCGCCCACCACCACCTTCAAGCCCGGCAGCCCGGACCTGGCCAAGCACTACAAGTCCGCCTCCCCGCAGCCCGCCTTCCACCTCAAGCCCGACACCCCGCTGTCCGGCAAGAAGCACCACGTGATCCAGGAGCTCCCCCTGGACAACACCTTCGTCGGCGGGGGCTGCGACACGCTTTCCAAACGCTCCTCCACTAGCTCAGATCACTTCAGTGCCTCGGAGTGCAGCTCCCAAGGAGGCTTCAAGACAAAGGGCCCCTTACACACCAGACAGGTAAACGAGCACTTTTACTGGTCTATAAGTACTGCATACAAGTGCCCAGTCAACCAGTACTGACGTGCCAGGGTGTCTGTTGTGTTGGTCCAACTTTTAGCATAGTGATAAAGAGGAGGGAAAAAAGAAAAAAGAAAAAAAAAAAAAACTTGACCCCTTTTTCTCTTCCTCTGAGGCTCAGTCAAGAATTTTTTTTTTTTTTTTTTTAGAACAGCTTTGAAATTTTCTCTGAGTCCTGAGAATTATTTAACTTCCCAGTTTGCTTCAAAAGGCAAAAGATGAAAAGAGGAAATGATTCCAAAATGTCCCAGGATAACGTTGGCTGAAGAAGAAAACCTGTCCTGATATGTCAAATTCCTGCTCCCCGGGCTCCCAAATTGACGGCTTCGACACTGTCACATGACCTTTTCCTCTAAAAAGTCACCTTCAAATCTCAAGCGTTAAATGACGTTTGAAGGGCTGACAGTGATTATATTGGAGCCATGGTTGCTAAAGGGGTTAACTTTTTTTTTTTTAGTCTCTAAACAAGATGGTAGAATATTAAATGTACATCAGCTATGAAGCACATGGTTGTGGATAGTTTGCAACTAAGCCATATAGGTCCTCTTTTTGATTTCAGATGATTTTATTTGTAATATAGCAAGTTGGGTATTGCATAGAAAGATTTGCAGATTGTCCACAATGGCCAAAGTACTCTTGCAAAGCAAAAAGCAAAAAGCAAAAAGCAAAACAAAAAAAAAAAACAAAAAAAAAGAAGGAATACAGTCTCCCTGATTTAATCATTTATACAGAAAAGAATGAATCCATTGTAAATATTCTCTCATCCTAGTAATGCATAAGTGATCTGTCATAATTCATTTTAAACTGTGAAATATGCCATAGGAAGAGGGATTAAGAGGCTGAGAAACTCATATTTCAACCAAATCCAGAATTAGTTTTTCTTAGGTCTAATAATTCCATGTTAATAAAGACTTAAGTGCAGCACTGTTTAATTTATTTCACTGGTGCTTGTCTGTTGCCACGGAATTTGAGTGTCAATAATAGCCTGTAGATGGCACTAGGGTATCATGTGCTTGCGCTGGCCAGGTGCCAATCCCGCAGTAGCAAGGAGAGGGGGGAGGGAGACATCATGCTGGTACTACAGCCAAAGATACCTTTTATTTAATGATAGTTGCTCTGGAGCAACTGGCATTTCAGTTCGTTTGCTTGCTCTTTTGTGATTAGCTCTCACCACACCACCTTTCTAGCACTTCACAATCCATGTTCGATCTTGGTTGGTATTGAGTCCATCTATGGTGCTGGCCCATCTGAATTTGTTCAAATAAGGAATATGTAGATTTCAGAAAATACAGTAAAGCAAAATAAATGTGCATGTAGTATTTATTGACAGTCATTGATTAGTGATTGGAAATTGAAGAGTCTTCCCCCCAAGTGGAAGTGAGGTGGGGTAGAAGATCTTACTGAGACTCCATTTCCTTCTCATCTTCTAGTGTTTATTGCTCTGGAGGCACTTTAAGATTTTGTGTTTATTTATAAAAATAATTTTGACAATGAATCACATAGATACTCCTAGATCATTAAATGTGTTGATTATAATTATTCAACTAAAATCTCCATTTCTTGAAGAAAGAAAAATAAAAACTAAAACAATTTAAAAGTATACTTGGAGCTTAAATACATAGAATGAAAAGAATTAAAAAGTCAGTATAGAAGTTCTAGTGAGAATGTGAAGTTGAAAGATATAACTGGATGTTGGAATGGCTTATTTCCATGTTAAATTTATCATCTTTTTAAAAGAAAAGAAGCTGAAGTTTTAAAGTTCAGAATATTTCTGAGATTACTGAAGGTTTATAAAAGTTGGTAAATAGTTAATCATGGTAAGAAAAAGTAATTTATGAAACTAAATGAGTTTCAGTATAAAACAACTATTTTAATGAAAAGAAAGAAAACTGCTTTTTATTATTGACTTTTAATGTGAAGGTCATTTACAATAAACTGATGATATTACATGATTTGCATAATATGTTGAAAAACTAACATGATTTAAACTTTTAATATAAAACAGAAATTTGTTTTCCAAAGAAACTTATTGATATTCTTCCCACATCACCTTTCTTTTCATTTCCTTGTAGCACAAATATACAGACCCACTTTTTCTGACTTTGCCCCAAAAGTTGAAACTATAGGACAGTGACATAAATGCTAAGTGCATTTTAGGAAAGTATGGCAAAGATCTTTTGTTGAGCCTAAGTTAGCCATAACAATATTTGTTTGTATGATGTCATCTTTGAAATAGGATGCTGAGTAATTTGCTAACTGGAACTAAAGTGCAATTTAGACATTTCTTGAGACCATGTGTCACTGTGTAATTCTCCTTGTAGGCATTTTGATGGTCACATGTAGCTATAATTTGCTATTATGATAAAAGCTATGGTAATGGCTTTGCTTATACCTTTTAAACATTTTCATGACGAGAAAGAAAAATTGTGATATTGGAGAAAAAGAATATTGGGAGAAAGGAAAGACGATGATGATAGCAACATGTACAATTTTAGTATGAAAAGGCATATTTTCTATGAATGAGAACATAAATCATATACTACTCTTTTAATTTTTCCCACTGAACTCTATAATTATTATCTGAAGACACTCAATTTAAAACAAAAAGGTAAAAATTATTTTTCCTTAGTTTGTTTACTTCAACTGGTGGCTTTCATACTAAATGTGCTCCTGAAGCTAGACAATTTTGAAAAGTAAGATTTATTACCACAAAAGCTTTCAAAGAAATTCGTAAAGTTACATATAATCTATGAAGGTTTTTTAGTTGAGTAGGCTCAGATTGCTATTAAACAGGAACACCTTTCACTAATGCCTCTTATTGATGCCTGGGTGAAACGCAAGATTCTTCAGTAAGGGTTACCAAACTTAAATACTATTAATTTGTATTATCTATACAGTGGAAACATAATGTCTGACTTTTAACCATGAGTTTGCTTGTTGTGCACTGATTGTTATCCCCCCCCCCCCCACATACGCAAACACACACCAAACCCCCTGTTTTCCCTTGTATGACCCTGCAAAGGTCCTGTGAAACAATTGTAAGCCACATTCTTCATCCACTCTTTTTTACCAAGCTTTTCTTTTCCTTGTGTTTAACAGATATGTCCCTGAATTGTCCACAAATTATTTTTTATGAGTTTTTGGAAGTATCCTTAGCACTCACAGATCTAGTGGAATTTTCTTTTCTTTTCTTTCTCAAGCAAGATTATATCTTGATGTTTATTCATAAATAAGCGAAGTTCATTGTTAATAGAGTTAAGAGAAGGACAATATTATTAATTCCAATAGGGCTTTAAATAATAGCAAGCACTGGTGTATTTTCTCTAAAAGAAAAGGATTTTTTTTTTTAACGGATATGCCTTTTAAAATATGAGAGTATCAAATTGTAGGCTCTCTCAGAATCAACTATAGGGTTCCTTAAATTGGGTTATTGGGCCTTACTCCCCGGGGTCCTGATTTGGTACCTCTGGGGTCCAGCCTGAACATTTACATTGCTGACCAGACCCTAGGAGATGCCGGTGTTGCTAGTCCAGGGACCACACTTTGAGAACCACTGCCTCAGCACATTGGAAGGAGAAATGTCAGCTCGTTTCCCTCTCAGATGATCATTTCCAGAGGACCTGTTTTTCCACAGCCCAACTCTCCGCTCACTATTGACAGCCGTTTATTATAGCTGGAGGCTTTACAGTAAGCTGTTTCCCAACCCAGCTGACAGCTTTAGGGAATTAATTTTCTTGGCCCCAGTGTGCTTTTTATGGGGGTACAAATGAAAATGATAAAGAAAAACATAAAAGTGACCTGTTTACATTTGACAACTTCTTCCAGTCATGAAATAATCTGTGATAGTTGCACTAGAGTTTGGTTCTGGGTAAGCAGTCATGTTTCATTTTCTAAATGAAATGCTCATTTTAGAGCGTAAACATCCTTACTTTACTTTTCATAATCTAGAGTAAGTATTTGCTAGTATATATTTTGTGTGCATAGTGAAGAAATTACACATTGAAAATGTGTATGCATGCTTTTCTCAAGTGTATACATGTACTTTCGCAGTATAAAGGGAATTGCTTCTATTCCCAATCATTTAGAGATACTATATTACATTTATGATTACTTTTCATTTTTGAGTAATCCCACTACAAACACTACTGAAATGCTGTTATGTCATGCAAAATGCACAAGACAGTCATAGAATTGCTATTTAGAACTGTGAGAAAGAAAAATGCAATTGAAACTGAAGGAGGAAAATGTTAACTAATGTGAGGCTAGCAAAAACTTTAAGATATTTTAAACTACTAAATTTTGCAGTATATTGTGATGGTTGAACACAGGTGGCATTTGGAGAAAAATCACTCCCCAAATTGCAAATTATATTTAACATGTTACCAGTGGTTGTTTTTTTTCTTTCTACTCTCTCCTTTTGGCTAAGTGCTCTCTGATCATGGACTCTGTTTATGAGGTAGAGGATACCCAGATAATACCCTTAGATAATGACTCAGGATTCTGGAACATGGTTGGGCCACTAATTCAAACTGGCTCCCTTTCCTCTTGGGTTTATAAGACAAAGATATGATATTTTTCACAGCTTGATACATCTAAGCTGTAATATTTAAGATAAATGCTAACATTTATTGCTAATGACCTTAAGGAGGGTCAAATAAAAAATTGCCATTGTGTTAAGCATAACCAAACATTTATTCATATAGAGGAAACAAATTTCTGTAGCCAAAATATTCTATTATCTTGTTTTCTAAATTTTGTTGCAATTAATTCTATATTTAGAAACACTGTCAATTGATGCTTGCTCCCTGAGTTTCAGATGAGTCATCCTTATGGTGTCACAGAGCAGGCTCTGGAAGCATTATCATTACCTTGTAAAAGACGGTACTTGAAATAATGATATATTATTATGGCATATGCATAGTGATAGCAACTAAATATTC